AAAAAAAAAAAGATGGGAAAAATAACAAATGTTTGTAAGTTGGTGGGAATGAACCATTGGCAAGGGGAAAATGTCTGGGGCAAATACCTGAGCAGGAAAGAGGAAATAGAATCTAGTGCAAAATGGGAAGAGAAGCTGACCAAGCAGAAACAGATGATTTATAAAAACAAGAGAGAAGGCATTATAGATACTGATCTAAGTAGCTGGGTAGCTAAGGTGGTTTGCAGGTGTCTTATTTTATTTATTTCTTCAATTATCTGGAAAAAAACCAGGAAGATCAGCAGAGAATGAGGGTAGACAAAGTGTCAGAGGTTAGAGGAGGGGAAAGGTGAGAAGTGTCATCTAGGACAAAAGTATGAATAAACTTGCAACTTGCAAAGTACAGCGTGACTATCTCTATTGGACCTCACATGATGTGATGTCTGCCCTTAGTCTTTTGGAGACTACACCTTGGTAGACAGAAATACTGAGAGTAAGCATAAACCCATACCTGGTAAATTCATGAAGGTAGGTGCAGTGGACTGTCGCTCATCCTGGAGAGATTCTAAATGGGAATCCTTACTTACTTCTTGGGTCTGTGCAATTTCTGTGTCTTTATTTGGAACTGGTGCCACCTCTGTTTCAGAGAGTGATGCAATATTCTTGGCTGGAGTCATACTGTTGGTCAGGGTCACCTCTGTTCCAAGGGGCGAAGCCATATCTTTAGTTAGGACTATCTCTGTTTCTTGGGGTGGGACTGGGTCCTTTGTAAGGGACCCTCCTGCTTCTAGAGGCAGACTCATGTCCTTGACGGGGGCCACTTCTGCTTCTGGTGGTACAGTCACATCCATGCCCAGAGCTATTTCTATTTTGGGGGGTTGGACCATGTCCTTAAATGAGGCTAACTCTTTTTCTGGGGACAGAGCCACATCCTGGCCCAGGGTCATTTCTGTTTCTGGGAGTTGAGCTGTATCCTTGACTGGGGCCACCTCTGCTTCTAGGGATAGTGCTGTATCCTTGGTCAAGAACACTTTGGTTTCTTGGGACAGTGCCATGCTCCTGGTCAGGGCCA